AAAAAAAAAGAAGTTAGTGTTTTGAATAAACTTAAAATTCACAGTGAGCAAAGTGGCAGGTCAGAAATGCAGCAGGTTTGGTCAAACACAGAGAGGTCCTGAAAGAGAAGAGGTTTTGACACGATGACCCCCTTTTATTTAAAAACAGTGGTCTGTGTACTCCAACTAAAGTGACCTCATGGTGGTTGTGGGAGATGGGGGGCAGCAAAAACACTGGTTTCTCTTGACCAAATAGATCCAGGTCCGTGAGTCATAGTGTAAACAAAAGACACTAATATTTTCTAATGTTGCTCAGCACTGCACTGACAGAGGCAGGATGTAGAACTGGTTAAGCCATGTGAGTGTACTGACCTCAGGGTTCAGATTGCTGACCAACAAGACATTGTGTCCGCCAGAGGCAGTGAGGCCTGATAGGCCGAGCCGGCTGGCAGCCGCTGCTGCAGCCGCCATGCCACTGTGGCCAACACCCAGGGACGCCAGGGCACTGGGAATACCAGGCATCGACAGACCTATGAGACAATATTAATTACCATCAATTTATTGCACTTTTGATAATGTAATGTTTGGAGAAGGGATAGATGCTTCATTATGAAAGGAATAGCAGTGTTGAAAAAAAATGTGTACTGACCTGCCTGTTGGATAGCAAAGGTTGGGGGGAAGGCATGTGCTCCACCATAGGGAGAGGCTGAGATTATGCCAGGCGCAGCTAGGACAAGAGGAAACAAACAAAATAAGAACAAACTTACGTACACTGAATGTGTACTTGAAACCTTAAGAAATCAAATCAGAAAATGCTTTAAAGGACAGACCGATAGATTAAGAGCACACTTGTTGAAGTAAAACCTAGAAGCACCAACTCAAAAGGCAGCTGGATTATGTATTCATAGGCTTGTTAACATTTATGGATGTGATCAAAACAAAAATTTCGTTAATCATGTCCCAATCTTACCAAATGCAGCGGCAGCCATGGTCTGGTGATCAATGGAGGGCTGTGAATCCGCAGTTGGGAGGTCTGGTCGGGTGTAGTCCCTGCTCTTGTCATTGTTGTACTTGACATTGAGGCTGGTGAGCTTGGAGAAGCTAATTCTCAAGGTACAGCAGGCGTTGTAGATGTTCTGACCATCTAAAGACTGAGACATATGTTGAAGCATTAGGCCTGGGGTAATGCGAGTATGGTGCGTTTTACACTCGTCATTGTATCTACAGTTTCAACAACTGACTCCACAGTGTACACATTGCACTGTAACTGCAATGATTTGCTTTAAATTGGTTGATTTCTCATGGCCAGTCTTAACCCTAGTGAATTTGACTAAGCACCCAATGACCTGTTACCCAGTGGTAACAAACTCAGAGTGAAACATTGTGACAAAGAGCATTAGTTTTACCAGTCTTACCAGTTTAGCGTGCTGAGCTGTCATGCCATCTGCGTACTGGATCAGAGCCTGGAACTGGTTGTTCTTGGTGAAAGTGATGATCTTCAGCACAGTGCCAAACTTAGAGAAAATCTGGGGAGGGGAGGGAGCATAATTAGGGACGTCACTATGAAAACACATTTAAGGTTTTCATCACAACTGTACTGGAGGATTAACAAGGCAAATTTGCATCTCTTTTGAAACAAAGAGTTCCATTGTTACCAACACACATTTTGTTTATATTGAACGCAAAGATTCACCAAGTATCTTCCTGATAATGTTATCAGTGTGAGCCAAGGCTCAATTTCTCAGTAACATAATGATGAGGAGAAGAGGCAAATGCAAAAACAATTAAGTATAAAATATATTTATAGTAGGTGAGTGGGTAGTATAACACGTTGCCAAGTTGTAAGTAAGTTTGCATAAGTCAAAGTCTGCCTCCGTACACCTGGTGCTGTACAGCTGCAGCGCTAATTTTACACACCGATAGAACACAGTCACCTATTGTAATTTATAGCAGGTGTGTTAATAAAACTATTTTCAATTTTAAAAAAATAAAAAAATAAAAAAAAATAAAAAAAAATATAAATATCAAGATTACTGAGAGAAACCTGAAAACAAAAATCCTTGATGAGGTGAGTATAAAACCAGTCAAGCAGCAAACCCACCAAAAAACTCAAACGCATGTTTAAAGGCTTGTTCAAAGATTAAAAGGGAACTGACAAGCAAATAATTCAAAAGAAACTACCAAGCATATAATACACATAGTTGAAACCTCAGTGTTTTAATTTGATTAAACTAAAAAATAAAAAAATAATAATAATTAAATTATCCTCCTATATCGATCCAGCAACAAAACTAGAAAATCTGCCCTTACCTGGTGTAGTACGTCCAGGGTAACAGGGTAGAAGAGGTTTTCCACTATGACTCTGAGCACAGGGCTTTGAGTCCCTGCTCCTCCCATGGTACCTGCATCTGCGGAAATGGCCATGCTGCCCATTCCACCTCCATGCAGTGCATTGACTGCCTGCAGAGCTGCCTGGGCACGCTAAGGGGGAAAGTCAAGGGAACTTCTTGAACATGAACGGAGAAAAGTATACAGTTATAAAAGAATCAGTTAATGTGGGTTACATTTTTTGTGCGAGGTGAGCGCCATATTTTTTAACTTGTCGTTTCCTAGGGTTTGCGTAGTTTCACAACAGTAAGAATGAACTTGGGTAATCATTACCTTGACTATTTTGTCTGTCTGTCTTGTCACAGCAAACCAGAAGGCAAAACATCACATCGCACTAATCTTGAAAAAGGTCTTTAAGAAAGATCACAAAATCTATTCCAATAAATTTGAGACTGGTGGCAGGAAGAACCTCGTATTTACATTTTCTGCATTCAGCCAACACTTTAATTGTTAATAATGACTGGAGCACTAATTTAAGCTTCAAATCAAAATCATCAATATTAAAAGCAAGTGTGTGTGTGTATGTTTGTGTGACAACAGGCCATTACCACTTGGTTAGGGGAGTTGTCCGTCTTGAGCTCCTTATGGGTTGAGTATTGCATGTAAATCGGGTGGTTTCTGATGACGGGGGTGACAGAGGAGTAGTAGCTCACCATCGTCTGTGCACACTCCTCGCTGTTCAGTTCCAAGAACGCCTGCAGGGAGGACCAAAGACACATATCCAATCTGTTTCTCCCATCACACACAATAATGTACCACCATTCTTCATTTTGCAAGTTTGTTGTGAACCTTTATAATTAACTGCATTACCACCGTCTATTTTTAGTCAAATTTCACTTGATATCTTCATTGGGTTTGACACAGAACTGCTGGTAAAAGAGGAGATAATGAAGACATTCAAGTGGGATTAAGTGTCTTCCTCCAGGAAATCTTTGCAAGAATAATTGTCTCCCTACCCACTAAACCACATAGACGTAACAAAAGGGTCATTGTTATCATTTTCAGCTCAGGACAGAATGTTAGAAAACCGATCCCTTGTCTCAGGCCTAAAGAGGAATTTCATCCAGGTGTGAGCCATACAGGTTTGGTGAGAAGACCTGCGTTTATCTCTGCTTACCTGGTTTTTCCCTTTCAGCATCAGCAGATTAGTGACCTTCCCAAAGGGCAGTCCCAGACCAATAACCTCAGCCTCATTTATGTCATTGGGCAGCTTGCGTACATGGACCACACGTGACGGAACACCAGGACTGCGGACGTCACCTTTGAATTTTTTGCTGTCGTTGCCATTGGCTGCAAGAGAAAACAGAGGCAGATACAATCAAGGAGGGAACAGAAGGCTCTGGTTCTTCCTGAATAATGGATTGATCGTCATGGCAACACAAAACAACACAGACACGGCACGCACTTCAATAAAAGGATTCACCCCTCCATGGCAACCCCCCTACCTGAGTTCATGATATAGGGCCCGTTGGATATGCAGGAAGAAAAGAGTTCGTCGGATCCCCTCTGCACAAGGAGAGAAAACAATGGTTCACTTCAGTACATTCACCAATGAGGACACAGCATGGCAGGTGGAGTGCACAGCTCTCATATTACCAAGCCACTGTGTGATAAAGGAGGAAGTAATCTGATAACCAAAAGAGGATCGAGCAAACACGCTTGAGAAGAACTCCACCTATCCCACCAAGAGGAGGTGACCTAGCTTGTCACAGCAGGGATATCTGACTTCCCATCATATTCACATCTTCCCATCTCATTTTATACTCTTTTCTAACAGCACTACCTAGTTAAAAACCTTACAACCATGGTCATGATGGGCCATTATTTCTTAGGCCAGGCAATGTGCCAAATTATCATAATTTAACGCCAATAGCACTCAAGGAGGAACTGCCACTATTCAGCTTGAGGCACACAAGTCGGCTGTAAGAGTCTTGGTTAACAGCAGCTGTCAGTCAGTACAACCCATCTTCTCATAATTCAGTATTAGGAGGAGGGATAACACACTGAATCCCTCTGGATCTGAAGACAAGATGGAGATACTCCTAGCTCACACTAGTTTACTGTCTGCTGAAACAGCCTTGTCCAGTCTCCTCCTCTCTCTCTCGCTCTCTTCAGTAGATATAAAGTGCTGTTTCAGGGCTGTTCTCGTGGCTGTGTGTGTGTTTGTGGTTGTGTGAGATGAAGTATTGCAGTCACAAGAAGTGGCTCAGCAGCCTAAGCTCTACAGCACTCTACAATGGCGGTCCTGTTCAAGCTGAGACTAGCGGCATTGTTACACGGCAGCACACACACATATGGAGCCCCGAGGACTCTCTGGGAGTTGAAGGGCCCTGCAGCGTTTTAACAACAACCAGTCATGCAGGTTTGCTAGCATTCTTCTCCTAGTGAATCTTAGCCTTTAAACATGCAAGGTGGTGGTCGGGTCACCAGACAGGCAGCAGAGTCTTCTCACAAAAGGCAGGACTAAGGTAAACGGAGGGAACATTTGGTGCTGTACTGCACTGCACTGCACTGCAAAAGGGGTGGTTTGGGGCACTGAGACAGTTGTTATGAGAGCACAACACTGTAAGCAGTACTATAAACTACCCTTTGACTTCCAGATGGTTTGGCTGACTCAGTCACTCTCTCTCTGAGGCCCACGCAAACAAGGTCTGCTATCGCAATTCATGAAGTTCAAGCAACAAGAGACATTCCTATGCCTTTTCACTGTGGCTGAAGGATCAGGGACCCACTCCTTTGGCCAATGGTCAAATCTTGACATAAATGAAAAGGCATAGATGTAACTACTGAGCTAAGATTACCAAGATGTAAAAAACAGACTGTAAGCCTGTGTCTAGCAAAACTCAGAATTATAGGATGAATATTTAGTAGCAACATGGAAGAACCAAGTGAGAAAGCTGTAATCGCTCACTAGGAATGCTGTATCAAGTCAACAAATTGTTGTCAAGAACTGAGATCCAATAGTAAAAATATGAGTATAAGAAAGGGGATTCACAACACAGATAACAATGAATGGATTAGGTGTGTGTTCTACTTGCTGGGAATGAAATCTAAAAAACAACATTTTTGCTTGACAAATGGGCTAAGGGCAGATGCAAGCCATGAGAAATGAAGGAAGTGGCTCCAGCCTGACTGAATGGTCATGGGCGGGCAGCGTCACATTATCAGTCAGCAGACCAACTCCAAACAGGAAGAGCAGCGAGATCAGGCCTGCTTCCAGGGTTTTACTAAACTTCCTCCTGGGGACTGATGGTTACTGTTCCATGGTTGGTCTCTCTTTCTCCCCCTACTTCCTCATTCTAATAATAACCACAGAGCTAAGCAAGTCTACAGTGCAGAGCAGGAAAATCAAGTCACATACAAAGCGAAGGATTGTGTTACAATTGACTGAAGAATATACCTATAGCTTTTGGAGGGAGTGTGGTTGAGAATGCAGAGGAGCACAAAGGAAAAGTTAGAAAGCCAATGAAAGAAAAAACAGAGCTGATAAATGGTTTGTTTGTTGACTCCAACACAGTGCCAAACCCATTTTTTCAACACAAACCCACTAAATGTGTATCGACTTGGTCACATCCTTTGTTTGCTTAGAACACTGACAGTATAATTGTAACCTTCAGGAGATGATGACACATTGCTGGCCAACATACTGAAACTGTGGAGCAACTTCCTTTCACTGACAATGGCAGCACCATGAATTTAATTTTACAAGGGAACATGGACTGGAGGCAATTTCCCTGCTCCATACACCACATCACACCTGGGTTTCATTGCATCAAAAGAAAGAAAAAAAGAAAAAAAAACATTAGGATCTTACACAGAGCTAAATCTGAGATGATTCATTTGAACTTGTGTCTGCAAGCAACCTTATTTTGGCTTCTGCTGGGGTATTGGTGGGTGGTAATCGCTCAGGAAAAGCACAAAGGAGAGGAGCACAGGTATAGACATGTTTGTTCAGTGTGATCAGCCTTCGTCAGTGGAGGGGGCAGGGAGCTGTGCCTCACCAGGGGGCTGGAGGGGGAGATTGGAATGCGACCGCGGAATGCCAGACACTCTGCCCAGACAGAATAATTACAGATTCCAGCAAGGCAAAGCTCCATAACTCAGCATCATCATTACCACAGCACATCAAATCCAGAAAACAGGAAAAGTTAAAGAAAGAATCACGTCAGGAGTCAAATCCAAACCATCGATCAGCACCCATTACATGGTGCTTTGTTAATCATGTTGAAAAACAACAGACCAAACTGAAATGAATAGAGGGGGTGGGGTGTGTCCCCGTTACGGGCGTGTGTATCAGAGTGCTTGTTTAAACAGTGTAAAGACCTTTGGCCTGGAGGATGAGGACGGTTGCGGGAGGATGGTTGCAGCTTTGAGATCAATTACTCCTCCTACACATAGCTGCCCTAGGCCTGTTACTTAGGCAGGTATTTTTATTGGGTACGCAAGTTAACAACCAGCAGTGTGCCAAACAAACAGTGTTCCTTCTACAACAAGTTTGCACACACAAACATTGCTATTACAGTTACATAAGCAGGTCTGAACATTGGACAATACTTTGCTGCTGATTTGTTTTACTAGTGCTGCGAGAGTGGTCTTGTGATAGAATGGAGAGTGGATAAATATCAAGCAGTGGGGCAGGATTCAGCTGCTTTCTTAACATTCCAGTAAGGCCAACAGCCTATTAAAGAACACAGAAAATAAACAACAGGAAGTTTCATTTCCCCCAGCAGTCACACAACCCAACAGAAACAGGACAGGAAAACATAAAGCCCCACCTCTGATAATCTATTCTAATTGAATGATCAAATAGCCCATGTCCTCAGTCCTAAGAGTTGCTGCAACCTCTGTATGCTGACCATTCAGTTGCATTTCATAAATCTTTAAAACAGAGAGTCAGCCTGCAACTGCAAACTCATTACACATGAAAAATGGCTTTAGACAGCAGTTCTGTAATTATAGAGGAAGCTCTTGCAAACTGACAGACTATGTGTCTCAAGTCCCCAGTGTCTGCACAGTTCTTTTCCATTTCCACTCTGACTTGTAAAAAGTTTCTCCAACCACTGTTTCCTAAAACTTTATTTAGCTGCAGTGTGACACATCTTGAAATCCATGGCCATTAGAAATATGTAAATACAACTAAATCTAATTATCTGATGTCAGAGCTATTTTGATGAAATAGGCAATTCCAACTACAGCACAAATGCATATCCATACATTGTACTGGTAAAAATGACAAAACAGGAGCCATTCTTCAGCTACAAAACTTGCTGAAACTTGAAACTGGTAAACGAGTCCATGAGTATCACAATCAACAGCGCTCTCATAGTACAACTATGGGATGTACTGTGAGACCATGTCAAGAGTTTAACATAACAATAATAATTCTATACTCAAATCAGTGAAATGAAGTGAAAAGAAAGAGCGGCAAAGAGAAGTTGACTCAAAAATTGCTTACCTTTGTGCCAACTGATATGTCATGGACACTGCTGTGAAAGAGAAAAGGATCTTAGTTAGCCAGGAAATCGAAGAAAATTAACCATAATCTGTCATGAGATCCTGTTTAAAAATTGAGCACAACGGTGAGGCATATTATACGCTCTGGAAATACACGTCCACACAGAATAAAGAGAAAGTACCCGTCAACTAAAAGGAAACCGACTTCCTCATTCGAATATGAGAACATGTAATTCAGAAAGCACCACAGAATCTTGAATACTTCGAGCTAAAATCTATCATGCAAAAAAATATACAAAATACTTACTCAATTTCAGGGACGTAGCCGGATCCCAGAGGGTACAAGTCAGCGTCTAGGCGGCTGTTGTGGATTGGAAAAACATAAAAGCAAACTTCAGAGTGGCACAAATAAAATGAATCTCTACTAACGAATTTACGTTAAGCGCGTTACTGGGCGAACTCAAGCCAGTTTACGAAGTACTACAAACTGTGAAATTGAAGTGATCAAAAGAGGAGAAAACATTTGCATGAAACAATACGCTATTGAGTATCCTACCAAGTTTAGATATCCCGGTGCACAAGTCTCTGATTCAATCAACATGAAATGTTCAGGCCAGACATCTTCAACATGGCCCTGGCACTCGGTAGACAAATGAATGCGGAAATGAGACACGTTGCTTTAGCTAGCGTTCCGAGTTCCCGAGAAACCAACTTACCGAGATGCAGTTAGCTAATGTTAACTAAAGTCTGCGTTAGCAAGCAGCACAGTGTTACCAATGTCTCACTAAAACGAGAAAGTTTGTCCACATCTCAACTCCAATTAAGTTACATTTGCTGACCGTTACTGTCGTTTTACATAAAGCGATAAAAACGGTTCACTTAACTAAGGTTTGTTAGCTAGCGACGGCTAGCAGTTGCTAGTTAGCTTACGCTCCTGCTAACTGTTGCATGTTTTGATGAAAAAACAGTTTCAAGTAAACTTTCCCGGTTTAACGGTTCAGCGAAGCAGCCATCGTATTCAATGTATTTTAATGAGCAACCCGTTTATAAGAGAAAGTTACTCAGCAGTCCGTTTGTCTTAACAAAATAAGCCTTAAGTGTGGTTCTTTTTCACTTACCCGTCCATTGCACAAGAAAAAAACTGCAGGTCTGAAGCGAAGGTAGGGCGGCAGACTTGCTTGATTTTCTTACAAAATGGCTGAACACACGGAGGCGAGCGCTGATTAGTCCAGGCACTTCCAAGAGCCAAAAACAGGCGGAGACCAGCCTCTGCTGGAGTCACCATTGGTCAAGACGACCATCATTTCATGAAAAAAGAAGGCCGCGGCAAATTTCCAGTATTTCATACCAAGTGGTCATGATTGATATAGTTTTATGAGATGCAGATCTTACTTTTGGTCAGCACCTTTTTATATACAGTGTATGGTCAGCGTAATAACACACCGACATAAAAGAAAGCCACCCTGTCGAGAGTATTGGATTTCATTATACTTTTTAGATATACAGTAGGCCTACATGTCAGCGGCATAGACAAACGTATGTAAGTAAGTTGTTTTAGTGTTACATTTAAATCCAGTGTCCATAACACTGATTAAAAAGAGCAATGGTGAAGGGGGCAATGGGCTCATTATTGAGTAATAGTTGATACTCCGTGGCAACAATTACTTTCATTACCTATCAATCTGGTGACTGTTTTATCCATTCTAATCGATTAAACGTTTGGTTTATATAATGTCTGAAAATACTTCCTCAGTGTTTCAAGAGGTCAGTTCACTGTTGTTAATATCAAAGAAAAGCATGAAATTCTCACATTTAATGAAGCTGAAGCCAGAGAATGGTTGACATTTTTGCTTGAAAAAATCATCATCTATCATTCAATTAGACTATCCAAATAGTTCGGCCACCTGTAGATTATCAGTTGACTCATTGATTAGTTGACTTATAGTTGCAGCTCTTGTCCCACACTCATAATTTCACTTAAGTAAAAGTGCATCATCATCAAAACATTTTTGAAGTATTGAAAGTAAAAGTACATTATGCAGAAAAAATGCTAATGTAAGTGTCATAATATATATTATATATTATTGTTAAATTATTTATACTAATGCATTAATATGTAAGCAGCATTTTATGCCAATGTTAATTACTTTAATTGGGAAGTTTATGGGTAACAGTGCATCATATTTTTTAAACTCATCATATAAAATATTAAGTAGGCCTAGCTTAGCTGCTCAATAAAAAAGTAGAGTAAGAAGTAAGCTATATATTTCCATCTGAAATATGGTGGAGTTAGTATTAAGTAGGCCTATTAAATAAGGATTGGGAGAGTCAAGCTATAATTCTTTCACAATAGGTTAACCATCATCCCTTCATCCCATTTTAAAAGTCTTGGATTTATGAGTACAGTTTTAGATGGCTGGATGAAAACAAAATTCAGTTAGTGTACAGTGCAGTCCCAGAGTATTAATTCATGAAGTCAACAATATAGATCTCAATCGCCTGCCAAAGAAGGTAAGTGTGATCCCATACTACAGGAAGTCTCAATGACCAACACTTTGAGGACCTATTCAAATTCACAGGTGATTTGAAATACCCAGACTAATTCACTCAGTGTAAAGTGTGAACAGGATTGATTTAGGTGGAGACAACACCATGAAGATGGTAATTACCCTGATACTGTTTGTCATGTAAGGAAAATCATCTTGATGCTGTGAAAATGTTCTGTGCATACATTGCACAGAGTGTATATTAAGGTTATAGATAGTTTGCTGGCCATGTGGGTGTGGAATACTGAGTAGGCATTTGATATTATCAAAACAGCCACTCACAATCAGTCCACAAGTCCCATCCCATTAAGTTAAACTAAGTTTAATATCCACACAAGTGTTGTATGCAAATAGAAAGAATGGGACTTGGTATTACTGGAAGAGGGTAGTGTAGGGCCCTGAAGGACATGAATGTAACCTAGAACATACACAGCTCAGTTACACACCACTTAAGGTATTTTAACACCCAACAGGGGCATGTGCACCCTGTAATTAAGGAGAATCAGTCAAATATGTTCTATTCAAAAGTAGTGAACTGCTATCAACACTGAAGGAAGCAAGACATGATACAATTTACACATTCTCATTAGAGAAGGTATTGGGAACTATATAAATAAAACATCTTGGAAAGAATTTATTTCCCCAATTAATTTTGTTGCCTATAGCACTTCAAATCCAGCCAAGGAGGTGGCATATGCTGTTTTGGTAATTTATATGAAGAATATGAAGAGAGGCTTTTCGCATCAAGAAACACAATTTTTTAGTTCATTTAGTTGACAGACTTACCAGTTTTTATCATTGTGTTAGGAAATGTCTTGAAAATATAATGTCGAGGACCAGCACAAACCCAGATTAAGCGGCTATTGACAGCAGTGCAAAGTGGCAAATTGACCGAGTTGGTGATATGTGTGAATAAGATGTGTGTAATTTGTTTTGCTGGAAAATATGAGGCACGGATGTCAGCAGGTCCAGGAACACTGTTGCACCACCAAGGACAACATTTTGATTTTGTTGTTTTCCACAATTACTGGAAAGAGAGGATGTTTTTTTGGGGGGTGAATGAGGTTGGATTTTAAATGAAATTTAGTTTTATTGTTTCATTACATTATGTGGCCATCTTCATTTGTGTCTCATCCTGGGGTAGCTGAAGCCTACATTTAACAGAGGGTAGGTAATTACTGGTACTTGTTGCCATAGCAGCAATTAGATTTTGCTTAGCCCTCATAGGGCTGATTGGGATGATTTATGCGTGCCATCCTTGAACAGATTTCTGTTTTGTGACTTCTTATCCCACAAATGGAATTTTCTCGCTTTCATTTCATATTCATTTGAAATTAAAACTTCCATCTCCTTTCCATTTCCTATGACTGTTTTATATTCCACTAGTCTAATCCAGGACATTAACGTTTTTCATTCGAGCTTGTGTGAGTGTGGAAAAGCATTGTCAGGGGTGTGACCTACAAACAGCACACAATATATTCTCTGTCTCGTGATGTGGAACAGTTCCTCTACTTCTATGAAATGGTAAAATCTGTCTCATCACAGAGAATGCACTTACAAACAGAATAAGCCACATTCATACTGGGCTCAAGAGGATTTTCATATTGCTATTTATCAGAGTCAATACTGCTGCAGCATAAAGCAATTTAATTATAGCTGCTGTGTTGAATTGTGCATACCTTACCTCCCTCTGATGAATGCCCTTTTTCAATGCCTCTCCCTCTTTGTTTCCCAAATTCACCCCCTATCTCTGACACGCACACACACACACACACACACACACACACACACACACACACACACACACACACATCCCTTACAGTGTATTTGACAAAAGACTAACAAGATTAATTTACAAAACAGTAGACGTACGCTCTCTGGTGGCATGTTATGGGAAGTGCACTTTACAAAATACATAAGCCTATTTGAATCTCCACTTTGGAAGCTGAAATCCCTTATATGCTTATTATACTATTGCTTGAACTAGCCTACTGCTTGGACCTCTCTCTTTCATGTTTAAACCATCAAATCATATCTCTTACTTTACTATTCTACTTTATTCCTTCTCCATTAATGGGTTGTATTCAACTCGTATATCAATTTCTTTCTCTTTTTACTGGCCATTTGTGTTAGTCCTATAAAAATGGATGGTTTATCTTTGTATAATTGTGTGTACATATCGCAGAAGGGCGTCCTATACCCATCTGTGACTCCATCAGCCAAGATGCCAAAACCGCACACATCATTAACCGTGGCTTATGTGTGCTGTTCTATCTACAGTGTGTGTACATTTGGTTGATTACATACACAATTGTGTACATACACATCTGACTTGCTGTAAACAAACAGTTTTATTCAAGATTCAAGAGAACATTTAGATGACCACAGAATAGATGAACAGGCATTGGTCTAACACAAGGTTGCTTTTTCTGCTGCTGTCCCAGAGACCCACTATTAAGCAAAGCTTTAGCTAAACAAATTTACATGTTTTTCTTTGTATACATATGTATGCATATACCTCTAGGTATGCACACAGATATACATGTGTATATACTGTATATACATAGACTGTCAGTTAGTCTCCTGCATAAAGTTTGTATCCCCCAAACTGTTGAAAAATCATTGCATGTAGATTGGTTTTAGATAAGAATTTCTTGTATGCGTGCAATAAAAACAACTTGTCTGTTACAGTAAAATCAATTAAACAATTTTGAAAAGTTAAAATAGGATGCAGGATACAAAGTTTTTTCAAGACACCAACAGTAGTCTGCATATTACCTACCATCTGAGCTGCACAGAAAAGTTAGAGTAATATTCTACTATACTTGTGTAATGACCCTCCAGAGTAGAAGGCAGTGTTTCCAGTGGGTCATCATGACCAGGAGCAGAGCAAGAAAAAACCCGGTCTAAAAATGGCGGCAGACAGGCAAGTCCAACAAACTGAACCTGACAAAGGCACCAACAATACACATTTTTTTTTCTTAAAAAAAATACACACATCAAATACAATATACTGCCTTGCAAAGAGGCCATAAGAAAGAAAAAACATGAGAGTCAATATAAGAAACAAAGTTGCACTGTACATATGGAAAGCATAGACTATATCTCATCTGTCCACGCCTGTTGACCTCCCTTTGGAATGTTAGAAGGGATCATTTCTCTGGTGGTAAATGTAGACAGAACTTGAGAAAATGCATCTGGCACTGAAGGTTGCAAAAGACTCTCTTATTCAACAAGTGTATACAGGAGGCAGTAGATTCCCACAATCCCCCTCACCGGCGATTTGCGTAAGACAGAGAGAAGGAGCTGAACAATAGTTGGTGGATGGAGAGTGTTAGACGAGACTCAGGATTAGCACCAACTTCAGAGGTTTTTGAATTGCGTGGCTCCGAGCACAGAAGGTGGGCCTGCGCGTGCTTGGCGATGAAGATGAAAAAGTGTGATAATGAGATAATGGTGACGGTGTGTAGATGAATCAGAGACATAAATGAGCCTGAGGGCAGCAGAAGCATTGGTGGCATAGCATCAGTGACCCAGACCATCCATGCCCTCTACTGTCTGCCAAACAAATGAAGAGACTGGAGCCAAAATGTATTTCAATAGGCTTTCAGGGCTTTGAATTTCTGTAGTGTAAATGCATGATTTGTCTTTCTAGCAACCTACAGTTTAAAATATCTCGCCATTACAGAATATGGCCAATTTATAACAAAATAATTAGGCTATAAAGCCTGGATAGATGGGAAAAATTCAATTCTTTTTATTGTGTTTTAAGGCTCAAAAGAATTAGGGTCAGCAGAGATGATTTTTTTTTTTTGTGCGAAATGGCATTCAAATGTCCCTAATATTTCATATTTCTCTGTAAGTCTATTCAAGTACTATTGGGGCCAGGTCTACAGACAAAGCATCAGGGGTTAAACTGGGAGCAGAGCAGGACAGAAACCAGCAGCCGACCAACACACAGTGAAATTACAGAATCATCAGATTTTATTTGGTTCAGAAAGTGACAAAAACCTTTGTTTTTTTTTTTTATGGTGAGCTGAGCAAGCCCGCCTCTCCTTATTGTGGTGGAACGAATCCCAATTTAACCCCTGGATTTACATTCATGTGAACGTGATAGCATATAACAGACAGTGACAAGACAGTCAAAAATGTTGCAAGGCTTCATGCAGTGCTACCTCATAAGATTTACATTGATTCTACTGTTGAGAGGAAAATCATTTAAGCATTTCATATCATTGCACAATGGTTCGTTGTGACTCTATTGACCATAAAGTAAGTGTATCCATCTTATTTAAAAAATACAAAAGCTGTGATCTTCATGTACATGTGTCACATACAGCATCTATGAGAAGCTAATGCAGTTTGCAACATGGTCAGTGTTCGAATTTGCCTCTTGTTTGCGTGCTGTAGATTTTTTTTTTAAACTTAAAAGGAGCTATTTGTGAGTTTTGCTATTGCTACATAATAAACATTTTTAGGTTTTTATTTGTTTAGGTTTTTATTTACCAATCTAGAAGAAACATTGCAAGTTCAGCATCAAACTTAATTCTTTCACTCAAGGAAAGCAATCCTCATGTTTCGCTTCTATTTATATCACTTATTTTCTTCTACTGAAATTAGCATAACCCAGTCGGGCTATCTTCTCACTTTACAATACAGAGTTTGTAGCGTCCAGGCTACCCTGAAGAAGTAACGCTTGTCAGAGTGTATTCTAACCTCTTGTATTAAAAACGCAACGATGGCTGAAACTCTTGGCAAGACTGGTAAGTAAACAGCTGTTAATGCTAACGTTGGCTATGTAGCAACAGCAAAACTTGCAAATAGTCCCTTTGAAGGGGCTATTTGTAAGTTTTCTCTGCCACCAAATGTGGTTTCTTGCTGGCATCAAGGAGTGGTAATAGTCGCTTGGCAAGAGCGCTGGCCATCGTTGCGTTTACAAGACAAGAGGTTATAATACGCCCTCTGGGCAGCACTACTTCTTCTTCTGGTTAGCATGTTAACTTCAGGAGAAGAAAAGACAAGGCTTGGCTGACATTGGCCTTGGTTTCCACCGCTGGAGACAGCTCTTGGTGGGTAAAGGGATGAAGTTTGATGCTGAACTCGCAATGTTTCTTCTAGACTGGTGAGTCAACTGTTAACGCTGGCTATGTAGCAATAGCAAAACTTACAAATAGCCCCTTTAATGCATATCTCTAACACTGCCAATTATATTTACTTTTACTGATACAAAGACTTGTGTGACCAAAGATATGAGCACATATGAGTCTAAGAAAGCACAGACACTTGTAATGATTGTAACGCAAATCTGGTAGAGCTTACAAGCTTACATGCAGTTAATGGTTAGCGATGATATAGAGAACCAAAAACAATAAATACATTGTATAAAACATAATTTCATATCAATATATTAAAATACTATTTAAAATAATATCTTAGACAATATTGCAATATGAAATTGACTGATAAATAGTTGGTAGGCCTACACAGAGAAATATATATATTTAAGTGTCTGTGTCCTTCATAGTTTGCTGTTTTGACTTAAATGATTTAAAGTTTCCAGATTTCCCCCAGTGGGTAGCAGTACAGTCCAGAGAGCTAATACATTTTCTTTTTTTCCAACAATAATAACAATGAACTTACAGTACACAGTCCCATAATAAAGATATACATACTGAATACAATATAAATGTCAAGACAGAAAAATAGAAAAATATCAATAGAAACCAAAAGTCAAATACACATCAGAGAAAGTATACAGAGTAAAGTGTACTTATGAGTCTTTGTGGTTCTTGTTGTTGTAGCTGGAGCTTGTATTGGCTCTCATTGTTGGTATATTGGCTGTGTACTTCGGCTTTTGTTTTTTTCCAGTCCTGACACACATACACACAAACACACACACTCCCACACAGACACAAAGTTACACACATCTGCAAATACAGACACATGCAATGGCACACTTGCCTACACAGGTGCAGTTGTGTACTCATCCATACACACACACACACACACCCACACCCGCATTCACATACACAGCTCACATGACCGTGCAGCATTTGCAGGTCTGTTTCTTCTCCTTTTCCTTCTCTCCCTCCTCCCCGCCTCCGTTGGCCTTTTCCTTCTCTGCCATGCTCCCGTTGGGTGGAGCCTGCTCCTCTGTGGCTGCCTCTCCTCCAGCTTTCCCCTCCCCATCTTCGATCACAACAAACTCAGCCTTTACGTTGCCGTCCACCCCTTCCATTCCCAGGGCTTTGTGGGTCTCCTGCTCCTCTTCAACGGTCTTGTAGCCCATGAACACCAAGGTGACGGGGTTGTCTGCGCTAGCTTGGTCAGGACTGGGACCCAGCAGCTTGGCTTCAATCCCTGTCACCTCTCTCTTTGGGGTCTGACCAGAGGTCTGCACTACTCCATTTTCACCTACAGGGAGCACCAGAGTACCATTGTGAGGATAGGAGAGTGCAGAAGGAAAGAGGGTGGTCAGGGTAAGTCAGAGAGACAAAGAAAGATAGAAAGGAAATATTGTTTTAATGACCTCCGGCAGAGAGGAACAAGTTAAAATGGCTGATAAAGAGGCCATTATTAGCTCAATTTCTCTTTTTGAAACTGGTGTTCAGGCTGCGTTGCCATGGTTTCCTGTGTGATCACACGTTGCCGTGGATACCAAACTTACCTCCATTTTCTTTGGCCACACCCTTATTGGCTGGCACGCCTGTCTCCAGTTCTTCAATCTCCTGCTCCAGCCTGGCTCAGGAACACACACACATGAAAATGAATTATTGATATTATTATTTTAAATTAGCATGGAATCCCTCTACAACACAGAGATTATACTGTAATATATACACCTTGAGTCTACAAATGAAACAAATAATGACCAAGACACGTTCCTTGGATATTTTATCTAGTCGACCATGTTATGAACCATGCCCTTAAACCATTAGAAAATCCCATTCCAAGTGAAAGACAATATTAAAATGTAAAAACAATACAGATGAGTTGTTCATATGCTATCTACTTGTGCTTGCATTTGGCACTGAGCAATACACACATAAAGAAATGAAAAAATTGCAATTACTGGTAGTCATAGTATCCGGTTGAAATTGAATTTCTTGAGATTTGTCTCAGTCTGGACACTAAAATTGGATTACATCACTTGTAGTGCAATGCCCATGACATCAGAAGCTCTGTTTGCTGCAGTTGCTATGGACATCATTCACCTCTGTCTCTAATGTTGTCTAGTGTGACACAAGAGTTCTACTCCATTATTAATATAGCTTTGGCTTGAAGAATGAGATAATACAGATTTATTCTTCCTACTGGTTACAGTTTTTCATTAGAACTGGAAAAATGCACCACTGGAGAGCAAATTAACCCAAGCCTACATTTTCACCATAACAACCACACATAATCGACAAGTTCATTTGCAAATAAAATAAAGTTCTTGATGGTCTGTTTCAAAGATCGGACTTGGAGAAGTTTTAAGAGGCTGACCTGAGGATGACCTGCTCCAGAAGTTTGGTCTTTACTTCGTCCTCTTGGAGACGCTTCTGAGTCTCCTCCTCTGCTGGAGCTCCATCTAACAACCAGCGCTCCCTCAGTGCCTTCGACTGAAAGGGGAAATATGAGTAGATTAAATCAGTTTTCCATTAAAAAAACATTGGTGATACTGGTAAAAAAGAGGAATACATTTTTACTGTAAATGCTCTTGAAATCTCTATGTGTTTGGTGTATGAGCGCATATCTGTGCTGTAATGAAAGGCTCTTATAGAGGACCTTTCATCATGTGTCTTTCATTAGGAGCAGCTGATTAATTCATTAGCAGAACTTCAAACCTCCCAGAATGCTCCATGTTATCACCCTTTTTCATTTGGACATCAGTGCAGTTTCTTTCAGAAGAGATTAGTGGCACTTTCACTGAGCGCGAGCAACAATCCCTTTAGCTAATCTACAACAAAAATCTACCGGGCAAGCGTGTCCACTGCTTCTCTGCTGACTGCTGCCACTCAGTGATTCTGTCACACACTTCAACTGCTGCCAACTTGTTGTTGCCAAGTGGACTATGGCACCCAGCCAGAGCATCAAGGCTTCTGGCACTGAACAGAAAAAAAAGTCAAACTAAGATATAATTCTCCTATTATACTCATCTGAGCATGGGATTGGAAATCTAGATAAATCACCCAAAGATAAACAACAACAAAATAGTTCTAATCTTAAACCACATCAAACATTTCCTGGAGCTTGACAATGAATATGAGAATATCTTTACAGACAAGCCGAGAGCACAAACTGTGGCTAGATTTAATCATTGCAAACTGTTAGCCATATTATAATTACTGTAGATAAAGTTAATTCTAGGGCAAGATAATTAAAAACACACATTAATTGAAATAAATAACATAGAAATAAAATCTTTTGTTCTATTATTCATTTTACTCTTTACTTTTCTCTTGCCTTCCACTTCTTTCTTTCTATTTCAATCAATGTTTATTTCCTCTATTAATTTCCAAACACCCCTGTATCCCTTATCTTGCCTCCCCATCCTCATTCCCTCCTGTAGATAAGCTATAATATCAAAGCAAATACTTGGCATGCTTTGAGGTAAATATAACAGTGTGTCCTACTCGCAGCTGTTAGACCATGCAGTGAAAGACAACCCTGCCTGGCCATATGGGAAAGTGCAAGAAAAAGCTCTTGTTTTCACGAGTTGGACTGAAAATCTGGACCTGTGCTTGATGTGAATTCCTCTCCAGTGATGCAACAAGAATTTCTACAGAAAAACTCCCCCCATTTTTTTTTCTCCTCTCTGACTCGACCCCCACTCCTTCCTCTTTCTTGCGTGCATCTTTCTCAATCATGAAGTTCATGAACTCCAATTAAGTTGTAAATGTCATGGTGTATCTCCATCAATTCCACTTATGTTTATGTGTTTGTATGTGTTAAAGTCTGTTGAAACTCTTACTTTCTCCACTGAGCAATTCAGCTCCAGACACCCAGCTGCACAGAGCTTTACAGCACACACTCACACGGTGTAATTCAACACTCTTCATAAACTGGCCCTGCATGGTCTCTTGGGTACTGAATCTAACCCTACTTCCCTCTCTCTCTCTCTCTCTCTCGCTTTCAGTCTTGCTCACTCTCTTGCCACACCTTACTACCCCAATGCCTGACATCACTAATGTACTCACTCATGCGCACACACACACACACACACACACACACACACACACACACACACACACACACACACACACCAGTCTGCATGGACAGTCGTAAAGCTGTAGCGCTGAAGCTACGTCTCTCTCTCCATTGTTCTTTGGAGTAAAAAGCTGCTAACGAAGCAGACAAAGGGCGGAACTGTGACACACATGCACGCTCGCGCACGCGCGCACACACACACACGCACGCACACACACACACACACACACACACACACACACACACACACACACACACACACCCACCCACCCAAATGTACTGAGCAGCTGTAGGGAGAAGAGCTTCATTTCAAAGTTCATCTAGCATCTCTCCTTGTACAAAGTGTGATGGCAAAACTTCAAAATAAAGTTTATGCAGTCCTTCTTAGTCTTATTATTTTGTCAACCATGGCGTTGAAAATTTGTTTTTAAAAGTTTTTGGTTTGACGTTTTAAGAAATATGATAATTTGCTTTCTAGCCATGAGTTATAAACCACTTCCATGCCAGTATGGTAAACATCAAGCTAAAGCCAGGAGATGTGTTTCGCAGACTAGCTAACAGTCGAAGGTCAGATAATCCACAACGTGTTGATTTTCCACTTCGGGTTTGTGCAGAATAAGCAAACAAGATATTATTTAGAGGTGTTGGAAGTTGGATTTTGTTCTCTCAGGCTCAACTGTTTCACTGTTTCTGGTCTTTATGCTAAGCTAAGCTAAACTAAGCTAAGCTAAGCTAAGATAAGATAACCGGCCACTTGCTCTACCTTCATATTTCTCATACAGCCGTCAGAGTGGTGTCAATCCTCTCATCTAACTCTCGGCAAAAAAAGCAAATATGCGTATAACACTCTTTAAACTGTGTGTTTCCCATATTTAGAGAACATGACATTGACATTCAGAGGTTTTAATTAAAGGGGCTCCTGCTTGCATAATCATATCTGCCATGGCTTGCTAATTAAAAACAGAACTCCTTCTAATGCTTTCTGTGTTCACAACATCGCATTACCTCATCTCTCCATCTTGTCAGCACAGTGAGTGTGAGTCTGTGTGTGAGTCTGTGTGTGTGTGTGTGTGTGTGTGTGTGTGTATGATCCTGTATTAGTGTGATTTAATGGTGGGCCAGGTACACTGTTATAAAAATGTGGTGTGTAAACTGAGACATTTATTGGGTTTTCCACATGAATGCTGCCTCTGGAAAAGAAATACTTGCTTCAGTTTGCACAAAGAGCCTTCTAATGCTCCTGTACAGCATGATTACACTTCCCCTCTGTGTGTCAGTGTCTATGTGTGTGTGGGTGTGTGTGTGTGTGTGTGTGTGTGTGTGTGTGTGTGTGAGACGAAAGCGGGGTGCGGTGGGTGTAAGAGCGGTTTCCTGTTGGTGGGAGTGGGACAAAAATCTGTTTCCTCTGCCAAAGCCCACCGCATTGTCTGAGGCTTCTGTGTTCTTTTATGAAGCGACGCACGCAAAAACGATCACACACACACACGCAGATACCCATTTACAAAGGTTTGCTCTGAAAATAGAAAAAGTGGGAGCACGCAAGGCCAGTTGCACAGGTCACAAGCACTTTTGCCACAAACGCGCAGGCGCATACGCTCCGCAACCTTTGCTCTTATCTGTGACCTGCTGAATGGTGTGCGGCTGAAATAGCTTTGATAATGCTGACACATACGCTGACAAAAGCCTTGGCTCTGATATAATGAGTGTGTGTCCGAATGCATGCAGGTTTGAATGTGTGTGTGTTTTAGGGAGTGTGTGTGTGTGCGTGTATAAACAGCATGTGGAGGGGCTGCCGGAGTTATCTGCTGTCCATTCTGAACATTCCGTGACAGCAGCAGTTAGGGAGTATCTCACTTTGTTGGTCTGATATTTTTGAAAAGAATCACAGAGTTTAATAATGTTGCATGGGTGTCAAACGTTGCTCACACATAGGGCATGATTCCCGAAAACACAGGACTGACCCTCAGTTTGTTTCAAGTTAAAGTAAGGGTTAGGGAGAGGCTGGTGGTGGTGGTTCAGGTTGCACACTGCTAAGAATTTTATTTATAAATACATTAATCTTATCAGTGCAATGGCTCCAGTACATTTAAAATAAAGTTGAGGTGCTGAGGTGGAAATATGCGAGCTCACTCGCTGCACTTGAGATCTGCCGCTTTCCCCAGATGGTGGAGTTTGGGACTCAAGGTGAGGATGATGGTGAAAAAAATGATCCAAAACAAAGACAACACAAGCTACATCTAAGATTATGTGATGTTATCCATCCATCCATCCATCCATCCATCCATCCATCTCAAATAGCAACCCATCACACCCTTCACATTGTGTGTATACAAGTACTGCCATGACGATGAATATAGTGCAGGCAGCTCTTGTGGTGTTGTGCTTTAAACTCAAGCTGTGTGATGTAAAAAAAAATTGCTAAATTGTTTTTTCATTCATAGCCTGAATCAGGGAACTGGGGAAAGATTTCTCTCCTGGAACTGACTCATAGTGATGTCAGTATCCGCCTACCTAAGGTGGAAATAATAGGTAAACCGGAAACATGTGTAGGTAGACCGCTACTAAGCACATAAAAGTTTTAAGTAAAAGAAAGGTGTTGGTGTATTGGAGGGCAGGAAGTAAGACTATGCAAAGATCTGTTGAGCACACTGTGGAGATTAAAGCTAAAGACAGGGAAACGTTTTGGTCTCAAAGCTGTAACATAACCTGTGAGAACACACCACAGATATATTTTTAATCTCTGCGGTCTATTGCCTGCTTAAATTGCAAAGTACAGTAAGGCTACCCCACTAACTAAAACACATTTTTTTTTTTATATTTGTGTCTTCTTTTCAAAACATGTAACATAATTACAGCTGGAGCAAATGGGGCATGTGCAAAATGTGTGTGCATGTGGAAGTGTATGTATGTATGTATGGGTGTACCTTGAGATGCTGGAGTTGCCGTCGGTCATCATCCAGCTGCCTCCTCTTGTTTTCAATCTCTGTCTGCTTCTTCCTTTTCTCCTGTTACCACACAGACACATTATGAAGGAGGCATCCAAGGGTTAAAACTGAAAATCGGGTATCAGAACATTTTGAATATTACCAAGCCATAGCCTTTAAAGGTAGTGCTGATGATTCAATGGCAATCTTTAATGACAGCGGCGTATGTGCAAGTCAGTGTAATTGTGAATGCAGGAGAGAGACAACAAGACAGACAGACATAGCAGTTGGTGTATAGTTACAGTATGTACTGTATATTCATAGCACACAACTGCGTGAAGTACCTTCTATACAGACCAGGCCAGTGGAGACATATTTTAATGATTCAACATTTCAGGATATCCAGATAGAGCTTTGATTTGGAATTACTGGGCTGTGAAACTTTCCACAAACCAAATTCAAAGGTGTTTTAGTCACTATGTCTGACACAAGTTATAAATGTTTGGTAAAATAAAAAAACAGTTTCCAATTTGATATATCACAATATATGTATATATTGTTATTAAAAAACAAAATGAGGATAAAACAGACTAAAGGATGAAAGGCCAATGGAGACAGAGCAAGGGGAACAGAGACGCTGAGAGACACAAGGACAGGTACTGATCTGTAGCTTCTGCATTAGCTGTCGATATCTGCTAATGGGTGAAAGAGATGGGATCTAAAAGGTTGAGTCATTAAGACTTGCAGTCACATCCCGACAAGCAGCAATGATTTGTTCCTTCTAAAGCCAACAGTGTGCCCTGATGTGCACTTTGTATGTGTCTAGAATGTGTGTGTGTGTGTGTGTGTGTGTATGGAAGAGAAAGGAAGGGACAGAAATGTGTGTATGTAGAAATAACTTACAGCGATGGCCTGGAGTCTCTCCTCTTGTGACACCTCAGCCATCCTGATGGGGAGAGAGAGAGAGAGAGAGAGAGAGAGAGAGAGAGAGAGAGAGAGAGAGAGTTACAGCCACACATGACCACTGACATCAGACATTACACACAAACAACTTTCCTTAACTGTAGCATTCATTTACCAGCCATTTACCTTCCAACGACTTCCCAGTGACTGAGGTTAAATATCTGTCTCTTTGCACTAAATCAGTATCTCTTTCCTGTCAGGGAGCGTCACTGAAGGCATGCTAATGCGCTAGCAGGGCGCTGCTGGAGATTCCTGCTCTAATAGGTTCCAGACCAGAGCTCCAGGATGGAGGATGGACGGAAGCAGAGCTGAAGCCAGAGGGGAAGGACTGCGACTGTTGGGACAAAGCTATCACTATATCGAGCTCCTAAAAAGGCCATATATCTAAGTTTCATATTCTTCTCTGTAGGTAAATGACTGATATTATCTGGTCCCCAAGACCAAGTCAAACATCAGGCATATGAAGTGAAGATATGTTTATAATAGGGGCTGGCATATCATCTGAGCTGACTTTCCTATAGAAAAGGAATGTTATGTTGTGCAGGAATGTATATACGTATGTATATAAGGCTCAAGACACAGTGTCTTTCAACAGAACTGTGTGTTCTTAGTTGCATGCTTGCACTGTAATACATTACATAATACTATATGTGACCTTTTCCAACTAAACATGAGATTTGTCAGCTGACAAAAAAAAAAGGGTTGGTAAGTGTTTGTGGTCTTGTCTCTGATAACTGTGTGCCTGAACACGTGTGCAGTCCCTCTCTTTCATTTTAAAAATAAACCAGATGAAATTCTTGTTTTGTAACTCTAGAACTGAAACAATTTGACTGGTAATCTCTGTTGATTAACAGCAAATTAAGCGCCAACTATTTTTTCAACTAAATTTTTGATAACTGAACAATCATTGAATTCTGTTTTCAAGCACAAATGTCAAACACAAATATCATAATTCCAGCTTCTAAAATGCAGAGATTTGCTGCTTTTGTTTGTTGTGAATGGGATTCTCCACTGTCTTCTGACATTTTACAGACCAAACAATTAATTGATTACTTGAGAAAAAATGAATAATGAATACAGCTGCCATCCTAATTACGACATCACAGTATCACTATTGGAAATTCATTACCTGTGAAACCACATTATGTGCAAGTTTCAAATAAAGGTGAGATTGTCACTTGATAGATTTAATTGAGTGGAACAGGTGAAATAATAAAAACATAAAAATATTAAGGGTGATGTGTCCCCATCTTCACATAAAATTACACCATTATTATTTTTTATAGCAATAACCTCTGGAAACCTTATAGTCAAAGAAATGTTACCCTAAAATCAAGACACTTAATACTTCTAAACAAATACACAAATTTGGTATCAAACTGTCAAATACTCAAGTCCAGAAAAGAAGAGGACCTCTCTGACTCTGCCTAGAGTCTCAGGTTGCTTGTCGTACAGCCCCTCACACTGTTTTGTGTCTGTAAAAACACTGTTTTTACTCTCTTCCACTCTTTTCCAGTCCAAACTAAAACTGTATCACTACACATATGGGATCCTCATTTCTCTACACGAGTCCAAAAGTCTTACAAAAGTACTATGACAAAACATCTACATCTACATCGCTCTCCACCCACTGCTCTCCAGTGCCAGTAAAATGTGTTTAACACGTTTGTGTCACTCACTCTGATGAGTGGCCAGGACCCCCACCGTCACCATGTGAATTCGCTTGTATCATTTCCCAACCAAATCCTCACAAAGCTTGTATTGTGAGAAAAAAAAAAAAAAAAAAAAAAAACTTAGCAGCATCACAACAGACCACATCACTTCTATCACACCCTTGCTGGTCTGATTGCTACAGTTTTTATTTCCCATACGAAAGGCATGCAGTGCAACAACACTGGCCCCTCTCAAAACATAAAGAAGCATACATTTTCTTTCATGCTTGTTAGTCCACTGTCCAAATCAATGAAGCTGTAGGACTTCCAGAAAACCTCAAGGGTGTATTATATTAGGGTTAATCTGTGACACGCATGGTTCATGTGCACATTTTTTTGGCTTTTCTGCATATGTACACGTACATACATTCACACACCACACTGCTCTAACGTCACCATCACATGGAGAGCCTTTAGAGGAAAAGTGAAACCACAATCATCTGATCAACCCACTGAGTACACACGCACATGCACACGCACGAGCATGCACGCGCGCACACACACACACACACACACACACACACACACACACACACCCACACACACACACACACACACACGCACACACACACACTGTCTAGACACATTCTTTCTAATTTTCGCCTTTCCCAGCACAAACAGGAAGAATGAAAAGACATGTGGAGATGCACTGAGTAAAATCAGGATGAATAAGACAAGTAAAATGAAAAATAAAATGCATCTTGACTAATAACAATCAATAACAAAATAAGGCTCCTGCTCCCATTTCAGAGTACAGTTGTGAAGACATTATTCAGATACTATTTACGTTTTTGTTGCTGACAGCGTTTTATAGCCAATTTTCTGACTAAGTCTCCTTCCCATCCCAGCCCTCAGGTTACAGTGAAAGCAGGGCAGTTAGCTGACTGTGCATCTGGGAACTCATCTGGATCAGTTCATCAGGCCTGGAGGTACCGACTGAACTCTGTTGTTATTAAATGACTGACCATCCTGACCTAGGAAAGGTCTCCCTGAGCATGAGCAGAGACAAGGCAGGACTCATCCACAGCTGACAGGAGACTGCAGGCACGGCTGGAACAAGTTATGTGTAATTCTATTAATGTCAGCTATCTCTATTGGATACATCAGTTGTGAAAAATGCCCTGAATAAACCAGCATACACTTATATATCTGAACTTGCTCACTCTACTGAAAAGTTTGTTGGAAACAGCTTACATGCAGAACTTTCCATTATAGTAACTTGAAAGTAATGAATGCACCTAAAACAAAAGAAGAGTGTCACCCTCAAAGACCCTCAACTGACTGGAAATTTCAGTCAGGGCCAGTATTTTCTGCCGCTAAATGTGGTCTCTTGCCGGGAGCAGGTGGTGGGGATTTTTGCTTGACGAGCTTTGGCCATCGTTATGTTTACAAGACAAGAGGTTATAATAGTCCTCTGAGCAGCGCCACATCTTCAGGGCAGGTTGGAGGCTACAGTGAGTCGCTATCCGAAAGTGACGAGACAGGCTGGGGCTAGCTAGTTAGCATGCTGACTTCAGTAGAGAAAAACATGTGATAGAGGCAAGAGTTAACGTTGGCGTTGCTTTCCACCTCTTGAGACAGCTCTTGGCCAATAAAGGAATGAAGTTTAATGCTGAACTCGCAATGTTTCTTCTAGACCAGTAAGTAAACAGCTGTTAATGCTAATGTTAGCTTTGTAGCTATGGAGTCATAGGAGTGCCATTAAAAAGTATAAATCTGTGAAAGAATAACAAAATAAATGTGGAAATATAAACAGAAATGAATGAAAGAATAAATAAGTTTAAAAAAAAGCTTTGATACCAGGGCTGATGCAATACCTGAGTTTTAGGGTGAGTAACAAACAATACTTTTTTAACACCTTACTTAACACCTTAACCATATCTTTATACAAACACCCTTTTTCCCATTTAACAAAATAAAGTAAACCTCTCGAATTGATTCATGTTTAATTTAGTCTTATGAGATCTTTGCCTACATGAAACAGTCTAAGATCATCAGTACTTGTGATCCTGAAAGTCCATCCTTGATTTTGTTTTAGCTGCTGTCGCCCCATTTCCACATGTCACATGGCAACAACTGAACAACCTCTATTGGCTAATCGAGACACAGCTGAAAGCTCTGCCAAGAGCTAGTTAGTGGACCTTAAAATCAAAAAAGTTTTACATAAGGAATGGAAGTGCCTACTGCCCATGCCTACTGAAAACAAATAATGGAAAATCTTCACATGTGGCTCTGTGAGTTGTGACCACAACTACCCAGTTCATGCCAGAGTTAACAGTGGAAGTCCATTGGACCAGCTGGGAGTTAAATGCTCAGATTTTCCAAGCCTGGTCCCACCATTCAAAGCTGAATTTTAAAGCCAGCTCTGCCTCTCTAACCTCTAGGCTACTGTCGTGATGAATTTTTAAAATGTATTGGGAAGAAATATGTCCACCTTGTTGGAACATTGCGGGCCTTTGTCCTGCTGCCTCTCTCATAAATTATGGACAAATGGGGAGAAAGGAAAGACACACACAGACAAGCATCTTTGCGGCATAGTTAGAAGAGTAATTACATCCATGACCGAGAAAGAAAGGAAGACATCCAGGGAGGCAGCCAGTCGCTCACAGACAGGCCAGGAGAGACATACTAAGACAGACAAATATAACAGAACAATAAAATCAGTCAGACAGGACTGTGAGAGGCAGTGGTGTTTGCCGGCAGACTTGCACAAAAACAATACATTAAGACTAGGGATGTTTTTAGCAAAATGTCAAGGCAGGTGGATGACAGAAGAAGTCAGGGAAACAGACTTAATGACCAGCCCTATTCCCTGTTGAGTGCACTGCTCTTGTAGCATTTCCAGGAACACATTAACTGCCCGCATAGAGCACTAGCATCCTTTTCTAATAGCATTGTGCTCATGGTCCTCTGGCACCAGCAGTCACTTTACACACTCTCTATCTGCACTGAAATGCCCTAGAAGTGATTACTTTAATGCCTATGGAGCTAAATGAATAATAATCCTGCTGAGCATCTTTGTTTAGGGATATCATGTTGGCCTAAAGCCCACCTCGGATTAAAAAAAAACCTCTCCTTTCCGAGGTGAGACGGAATGGTTTTCCTTCCGCTGAATTGGCAGGATTCACCAAACCCAAACTTAGATGCAGCCCTCCCATAATAAACACTGCTGGTTTTGGTTAATCATAGCATCACACTTACGCCTCTCATTGTTCAAAATTATTGTGCTGTGAGAAAAACATCACTTTGGAAACCTTTTTAAGCCATTTTT